CACAGAGGCTTATATTAATTATAACTATATGGACATTAACTCAAGCCAACCACTGACTAGCTCTTACACTTAAACTCAGCCCATTTTTGTTAATCGATATGTTGCCATGTGTTCTGTGGCTTCAACTGTGTGCTATTACATAATGCTCTCTGGACTGCGGGCTGGCCTCTGCTGACTTAGCCTTCCTCTTCTCAGAATTCTTCTTGTCAATTTATCCTGCCTATACATCCTGCCTAGCTACTGGCCAATCAGAATTTTATTTATCAACCAATCAGAGCAACACATTCACAGCATACAGAAAGAGATTCCCCATCACAGAGGCATGCCAAACCAGTCAGAAGAACAGTGATCCCCTGCTACACCAAAGGCCAAGCTAACAGCCAGAAGGACAATTTCCAACTTGAACAGGGATTCCCAACTAGGCTAGAAAACTAAAGAGAAAACAGAAACCGACAAAGAAAACACCAAACCAATGAAGAGTAACTCAGAATTCAGGGACTAAAACTAATCATTCCAAACCCAGATGAATAAATGCCAGGATAAAAATACAATAAACAACAGCTAGAGCAATATGACCCCACAAGAGCCCATCCATCCTTTGATATCAAGACCTTAGTATTACAACATTGCCAAAGCAAAAGAAAATGATCTTGAAACAACTTTATTGAATATGATAGAACTCCTTAAGGAGAAATGAAATACTCCTTTAAATAAATTGATGCAAAGCGAATCAAAGAATAAGATGAAATTAACAAATCTCTTAAATAACGTCAGGATAGCCAAGAACAGTGCAAGCAGGTAGAGAAAAGTATTTATGGTATGAAAATTGAAATAGAAGCAATAACAAAAACACAAAATGATGGATTTCAAGAAAAGGACAATCTGGGTGAGCAAACGTGAACTACAGATACAAGCAGCACCAACAGAATACAAGAGATGCAAGGTGTTGAATGCAATAGAAGTAGTTTCATTGGGCAAAGAAAACACTCAATCTAAAAAACTCCTAACACAAAACATCAAGGAAATCTGGGACACCATGAAATGACAAAATTTAGCAATAACCATAAAAGAAAAAGGAGAAGAATCTCAGCATAAAACCTAGAAAATACATTTAACAAAATCATAGGTGAAATTTTCCATTACTTAGAGAAGGACATGTATATAAAAGAGCAAGAAGCTTACCAAAACAACAACAACAAATAGATTAGATCAGAAAAAAAAGTTCCCATGTCACATAATACTCAAAAAGCTACATGTACAGAACAAAGAAAGACTACTAAAAGCTGAAAGGGAAAAAAGGCTAAGTAAAATATAAAGGCTGGCCTATAAAAATCACATACGATTTCTCAACAAAGATTCTAAACCACAGACTTTCAGAGACAACAGATGAGAGCCTAGACTAATACACCCAGTGAAACCTTCAATCACCATAGATAGAAAAAACCAAAAGTCAAATTTAAAAAATACCTACCCAAAAATCCAGTCCTATAGAAGGTATTCAAAGGAAAACTCTAACCCAAGTTAAATAACACCACACATACACTAGCAATAGGTAATCTTTCACCAGCAAAATCTAAAGAAGGAACACACACACACACACACACACACACACACACACACACACACACAACTATCACCAGCACCAAAAACATAATAACAACAATTACAATCCCTGGTCATTAATATCTCTCAACATCAAGAGGCTACATTCCCCCAATAAAAACACACTGGCTGTGTTTTTTATCCATCTACCAGAATGGATACAAAATAGGATTCACCCTTATGTTGTATACAAGAAACATACCTCAACATTAAAGTTAGATATTACCTCAGAGTAAATGATTGAATAAAGATTTTTCCAATCAAATGGACCTAAGAAGCAAGCTGATGTAACTCTCTTAATATGTAACAGCATAGTCTCAAACCAAAGTTAATCAAA